CTTTACTTCACATCCAAAGTGTTTCCCCCCAACCTGGTATCCAGGGGATTAGAGACTGAGAAGTTGGGAGGTGGAGCCCAAGAGGCAGGTGTGGGGTGGGGGTCGGGCACTGCAGTCCCAGGCACTTTCTGACACCAATGACTTGTAGGGCATTTTGGGGTCTGGTTTTGCCCTGAAAGTTCAGGAGCAACATCGGCAGAAGCATTTTGAGAAAGAGCCGAAACCTGCTGCAGCCTGATCCAGGTGAGCCCAGGTGGCCCCCACTTAGGACCAGTGGAACCCCCCACTGGTCCCATTGTGTCCAGGAGCAAAGCCCTGCTTGGTGTTGTCCCTGTGTGTGGACAGGCCTTTGTCCCGCTAGGAACTTGGGCAGGAAGGCTAGTGCATGTGCTGAGAACCAGTTCAGAGGCCCAAGGCTGGACAGCAGCACAGGGCACTATCTCACGGGTCCTGCACACGTGGGTTGGGGCTCAGAGACTACCTCTCACGTAGCCAGTAGTGCTGAGCCACATCTGTGCTACCCTTCACACAGCCAACCCCACACTAAGGATACAGCAGCACTCCGTGTCCAGCGGTGCTTCCTGAGCCATCTAAGAGTTTGCCTTTGCTTTATTCACCTGGAAACTCACAGGGCTCGGGGTGTCTGTCCAATGCAACGGCAGCTGTGCTAGCTGCAGCCACTGGGGCCAGGTGCAGCAGGTGTGACCAGCCATGGGCAGATTGAAAAACCTGGAAGGCACGGTTTGGGAAGCAGACACAGGAAGAAATTAGGACTCCGGAAAGACCCCGTATGTGAGGGAACTACAAGACCACACACATGTCCAGGGCTGGATGCAGGGTCAGAGGTGACTGGAGAAGACCCCAAGCCTTCCCCTCAGGCTGACCTCTGGCTTTGTGCAAGCAGGAAGTACAGGCTAATGCGGAGTTGTAAGTGGCCTCACCACATGTTGAAGGAGTGTCCAACACAGAGCCAATTGGCAAAACTGAATCGTGTTCCTCTTTGGTTCCTTGGGTTTAAGGAAACCTCCGTTAATGGAGCAGAGACACAAAATACAGCGTGTCTGAAATAATTTAGAAAAGTCAGTAAACAAACAACCACAATCAACAACAGCAACAACATACTCTGAGGAGGGGCAGAATCTGACTTCCAGAGGTTTGACGTTACAACATCCAGAACATCCAGTTTTCTTTTCTTTTTTTAAAAATTTAATATATTTTTATTGATTTCAGAGAGGAAGGGAGAGGGAGAGAGAGATAGAAACATCAATGATGAGAGAGAATCATTGTTCAGCTGCCTCCTGCACACCCCCTACAGAGTCTGCAACTTCGATATGTGCCCTCACCAGGAATCAAACCATGACCTCCTGGTTCATAGGTTGATGCTCAACCACTGAGCCATGCTGGCCAGGCCAGAACATCCAGTTTTCAGCAAAAAAATTATGAGGCAGAAGAGAGGGAAAGAAAGGGGCAAAAAGAACATTTGAAGAAATAAGGTTGAAAACTTTCCAAATTTCATGAATGATGTGAATCGACACATCTAAGAAGTTCAGTGAACTCCAAGGAATAAAACAAAGACCCACAAGACACACTGTGGTCAAACTAAGACCCAAAGACAAAGACAGCATCTGAAGGTAGCAAGGGAAGTGGCTCTTCAGGGATGAGGATCCTCAGTAAGACTAACAGCTGATTTCTCATCAGAAACTATGAAAGCTATGGGCAGTGGGATGACATATTTAAAGTCTTGAAAAAAAATGCTGTCAGACAAGAATCATATTTCTGGCAAAACTATCCTTCAGAAATGAAGGAGAAATGGACATTCCCATGTAAGCAAGAGCTGAGGGAGTTTGTCACTGGTAGACTTGCCTACAAGAAATGCTAAAGGGCATCCTTCAGACTGGTCAGTAACTCAGGCCGTATGAGCACTGGGAGAGGTAACCAGAGGCAAACAAGAGCAGTATTAAATTTTTGGTTTGTAACTCATTTTTTTCCTATATGATTTCAAAGACATGCATAAAGCCATAATCACTAATCTACATTTCTGGGCACACAATGTATAAAGGTGTAATTTGTAATAGTAACAACATAAGGGGGACTGCATAGCAGCAGAGTTTTGTATCCTACTGAGGCTAAGTTGGTGTACACTTTTAAGTACACACCCAAAGGAATTGAAAACGGTGTTTACTCAGAAATGTGCACACCAGTGTTTGTAGCAGCCTTATTCACAACAGCCCAAAGATGGAAACAACCCATGTGTTCATCAACAGATGAATGGATAAACAGAATTGCTGTTACCCATCACATTGAATATTATTTATTCAGCCTTAAAAAGAACGAGGCACGTGGATGGGGCTTGCAAACACGCTACGTGAAGGAAGCCAGCACCAGAGGCCATGCGTTCTAGGATTCCATTGGCTGGGAACCCAGGAGGACTGTGTGGCCGGGGGGTGCCAGAGCCTGGGGTGTCCAGGGGTGATGGCTGAAGGGGAAGGGGGTGGTTGATTCTGAGGTGATGAGGATGGAACCAGATGCTGCTTTGCTGTGCACTTTAGAATGGTTGAAGTGGGGAATTTTGTGTTACTTCACCACACAGACACAAGTTGGGGATGGAGACCCAGGCCAGGGCAAGGGCGGCTAGCCAGCAGGCCAGGACCCCACACTGTGCTCACGTTGACTCCCCCACGGTCTGTGGGCCACTACGCGGGAGGATGGAGGCCTGTGGTCCTCGTCCCCCAGCTCCTGTGGTCCCACAGGCCATGTATGTCCCTTCAGGACTGGGGAGGCAGGAGGGGACCACGAAACCAGGCTATACACTGCCAGGTGTCAGGTAAGACTGATGAGGAAAGGAGCAGCCTGCTGGTGTGCCCCCAGTCCCGCCGCCAGACCCTGCCAGCTGCGGCGGGCAGGCGTGCCCTCCAATCTACAGGTGAATCAGGGCCTGTGGGGCAGACAGGTGGGAGGGCCCTGCCCTCGTGGTTGACCCGTCATGTCTCCCCTGCAGTCTGCCTGGAGGTTCTACGCCACCAACCTGTCGCGCACGGACCTGCATTCCACATGGCAGTACTACGAGCGCACCGTCACCGTGCCCATGTACAGGTACCGCCACGCCGCCCTGTGCATCACGCCTCCTCGGCCTTCCATTTCCCATCTGTTCTGAAGCCCCATTTTTTGATGTTCATTATTTTTATTGATTTTTGTTTCTTTTTTTCTTTAAAATTTATGTGCTTTTCAAAATGGAGTTCCGTGTGTGGTTTATTTCGCTGTTGGTTTAGCTTTGTTTCATAGCTCGCAGCTTTTTTTCCACCTCCATCCCCCCACTTAGCCTCCTCGCCAGGTACATGGTGTGGGCACTGCAGGGACGGCCCCCGAGAGCTCGGGCACACGCCCAGCACAGGACCGTGGGGCAGCTCCCCGCTTTAGAGGACGGGGTCTGTGCACCGCAAGGAGGGTGACCCCTGACCACAGCGAGGCTTTAGGACCGGGAGATAATGCACCCGGGGTCCCAGGCGCCCCTGGTTGGGCGGAAAGGGGCCGGAAGCCCTGTCTAGGCGTGGTTGGTGGGGCGCTGCCAACAGGCCCATGAGTCCGCGTGGCCAGCAGGCAGAGCTTTCCAGGCAAGAGCAGCTGGCAGCCTGGATGAGAGTGGCTGCCCAGGGTTTGTCTGTGCCGGGCTGTTGCTTTGACGTCCGTCTGAGGTCATAGGGGCTGGGGGCTGCCCGGTACCTGCCCAGGCCTCATGCCCTTGGGAGGGTGGGTGCTGCCCTGCCCTCTGCCCTCTGCGGTGAAGCTTCCCAGCCCAAGGATGCCCCTTGCCCGCCCCAGGGTTTGTGCCCATGGAACCCTCACCTGAGGGGCTGGGCAGGGTCCTCCCGAGGTTCCTGAAGTCAGGGAGGGCCTGGCAGGACAGAGGCTGTTCCTGCTGCCACTAGCCTCGGAAGAGACTTGCCATCTGGGAGCGTGCGCCCCACGTCCATGGGGAACGCCTCCCGCCCTGCAGCTCCAGGCACTGTGGCCCCTCCCGCCGGGCGGACAACCGTGCGCTAATTTTCTCTGTTCTGTTGTTTCCCCCACTCTCCTCGACTGTTTTTTCATTTTCTTTTCCTTATCCCGTTCTTTTTAAATGTCCGTTCTCTCCCTTGTGTGCGTGTGAAACACTTGAAAGCTCGCAAGCTCAAACCTACGGGGCCTCCAGGTAGGACATGCATGGGACGAAAGCGTGGTGTGGTCTGTCCCCGTGTGACTGTCACGGCCGCCCTGCCACGCCCCTGCACCCCTGCCCAGTCTGGGCCTGGCCAGGCCCTGCCCTGTCCCCCTGTGTCCCCGCCCGGAGTGCACTTTCCTCGCCTCCCCCGGTTCCCTCTCTCAACTGTCCCCCACCCCCCCAGCCGCTTTCTTGTGCGGGATCTGTCTGTCCAGGTTTTGGTCTTTGTCCTGCTTCTTGCCTGTCTCATGGCTGGGGTTCCTCCCTCGTCCACCCCCACCCCATGAGCCTATGTGTGCCCAGCAAGAACGTGCTGGAGCTGGAAAACTCCTCCCTCCCCCCTCGGGGCCATTCCCACAAAATGGCCCGGGGGGAAGGTTGGCTTCTGGGCCTGGCCTGGGCCCCTCCCCTGTGGATTTCGACACCCCTTTCTTTCCTGCTGGCAACAAGAGGGAGAAAAAAGGCCCCTGGGAAGGAAAAGGTGGCCCGGGGTCCATCCCCGGCCACTGGGATCGTTGGGTCCGGCGTTTTCACTGGGGTTCTCTTTCTTGCCTTGAAGGGAGGAAAAAGATTGGGGG